GGGGGGGATTTGATAGCAGCCTTCAACTTCTGAAGGGAGGTTCCAAAGAAGATGGAGAGAGGCTGTTCTCAGTAGTGACTGATGGTAGAACAAGGAGCAATGGTCTCAAGTTGTGGTGGGAGAGGTCCAGGTTGGATATTAGGAAAAACTATTTCACTAGGAGGGTAGTGAAGCACTAGAATGGGTTACCCAGGGAAGTAGTGGAGTCTCCATCCCTAGAGGTATTTAAGTCTCGGCTTGACAAAGCCCTGGCCGGGTTGATTTAGTTGGGACTGGTCCTGCCTAGAGCAGGGGGCTGGACTTGATGCCCTTCTGAGGTCTTTTCCAGCTCTATGGTTCTATGATTCTATGATCTTATTGCCTCTAGATAAAACCATTGTATGCCCACATCTTGAATACTGCTTACAGGTGTGGTTTGCCTCATCTCAAAAAGGATATATTGGCCTCAGAAAAGGTTCAGAAAAGGGCAACAAAAATGATTAAGGATTTGGAACTGTAGGGTAATTTGAGGCAGTCCATGGTATCTTGCTGAGAACTGACAACTCAAATCATTAGGCCAGCCCTGGGAAGCACCCAGACAGCAGTTAACTTGTTAACTTGACCCTGGTTCCCCTGGCAACCACATTCCAAAAGGGCCTCACTTTGACAAGGCCGGTACCAAACAACCAAACAACCACGCAGGATTGTTTTTCATTGTGTGTTTTGTTCCTAGAAAATAAGCTTGGATCCCAAAGATCACGCCAAGGCAATACCACCCCCACAGGAGACGCATTATATTTCCAGCCGACAAAATGACCATCAACATGCCTTTGTTTGTGTTGGCTTATTTAGCTTGTTAGGAATAACTATTTGTATTAGTGAAAACATGTTTAATTGGCAATGGGCAGAGATGCTGTGTAACTGTTGTAGACCATTGGCTTATGTGCATCTCACTTCCGCTGCTAGACCTATCAAATTACTTCTCCTCCGTCCATCTGCTACCTATATAATCTAATGTATGTTTTGATTAAGTTAGTGCTCACCGGATTAACCCCTGATGAATACTCCACCAGCTGTGTGAACCAATAAATCCTCTGCTTGTTTTCACCTGTACCCAGTGTGTCCAAGAAATTATTCCCTACAGGAACGGATCCTATATGAAGAGAGATTAAAAAGACTTGCACTTTTCAGCTTAGAAAAGAGGAGACTAAGGGGGAATATGATAGAGGTCTAAAACATCATGACTGGTGTGGGAAATGTGAAAAAGGAAAAGTTATTTACTTGTTCCAATAACATAAGAACTAGGGGTCACCAAAGGGGTCGCACTTCCGGGTTCGAATCAGCTGGTGAGCGGAATAGCACACGGGCGAGATTATGCTAATGAAGCGTGGGATATTTAAATCCCCGCTTCATTAGCAATTTCGGTCGGCTACATTTGCATTCCTAGTTCGAACTAGGGAGCAAGTGTAGATGTAACCTGACATGTGATGTGATGCCTCTCTAAAGAGGAGGGCTCTTTTTATCACCCTTCTCATTCTTGCTTGGTTCTATCATGCTGCTCACTTTAGCTGGAAAACCCTCCAGGTCCTCATCCACCAAACATTCTCCTTCTTCTTAATATCAACCACTTCACAACATCCTTCCACCCACCCACCCCTTTTCATCACCCATAATGCTTTCCTTCTGAATGGATCATCTGGGTCATGATGATTTACCTTCTTTAGAATTTAATCTCTTTGGTGGCAGGGTGCATGTTTCTTCCTGTGTGGCATGAAATATCATAGCGCTGTATGGCTCTAGATAGGTAATGATGATATCAGTTCTTTATAAGTGGGCCATGCCTCCCATGCATAGGCCAGTATGTAGAAAGACTCTGAAGAGTGAAGGAGCTCTGAAGACACTGATATCCCATGACCTTAAGAAAGCTGTCTGAGCTGCAACCACAAATTAGTAAGGCTATTTATAATATGGAAAATGAAAGCGATCTAAACTAGGAAGGCTTGGGAGAGGCAACGTGACTGACAAGAGTAAGGAGCTACTCAGCCAAAAGGGGTTTGGGATTCTGTTTTACTTGTCGTAACTGGTGGCATCACTAACAAATCACATACAGCAGAGAGCTGCTTTCTTTATGCAGCTTGAGCATTGAGCAGTTTGAGGCAAGAGAAACACTGCACCCTTGAATGGAGGCCTTGAAAGGTCAGTGAAAAGTAAACAATGAAATGTTTTGTTTTAAAATGGATTCATTTGTAGTTTACAAGTCCAGTAATTTTGCTATTAATAATGTAGGCTCTTGAACAGCTTTTTGTATTAATTTATTTAGAAAGTATCTGAATTCACATTTTAAGCCATCAAGATCCTGTGTTCATGCATATAAAGATCCAGGGAAAATGTAAATAGATCTGGCTCAAGATGGGATGGTCCTCAGATTTCCCATGAGGTACCTGTCAATCTGTTGCATGCAAAACAATTTCCTATGGTGGAAAGGCTCAGCTGTGTAATTAGTGACAGTGTCTTTTAGCAATATGTTGGAAATATCTGAGAGAGAGAACTCACTGTTAACTTTCTGTCACTAACATCCCTAATGATCAAGTGTTTCCCCAGCCACGTTAGAAGAAAAAGCATGTCCGTTACTATCACTACAGGACAAAACTCGCTGGGAAATAGGTCGCTGGCATGGCAAAGCAAACCTCAGAACCTTAGTAATTATTTTTGTGTTTTAGCATAGACCAAGTCACTCTAAAATCAGATAGAAAAAATGAATCTAGTGGGTGGGCTGAGTCAGGAGGAATGTAATGCCAAATAGCTGGATGACACCTCTGAACTGAGGGAAAATGAATTAATCCTTAATGGATTTCCCTGAAAATGTGTCTTCATGAAAAGCTTGCACTGAGTTGAGGAACTTACTTCATTTCAAAGAAACTTATATTTCAAATATTCCTTTGTCAACTACATTGGGATCAGAAGAGTTGATTTAAGACTGAACATTCCTTTTAATTGTTTTCACATAAGGGTTCTATGATGATAAGGTCCAAAACAAAGTGGCTGAACTTTGGTGTAGGAAACCATGGCTACCCAAAGATCTAGAGTTATATGGCTACATCTTCACATGAAATCATACTTAAGGGGTTTTTTTTAGTAGCTGTCTATCTTCTGAGCTCTCATTGTAACATAATATACATAAATTAAGGGACTAGTTATAGGGTATTATGCAGCCTAAAGGGAAGAAAAAAAACATTTTGCTTGAAGGTATCCTTGTCAAAGCAACAACACAGGCAGAATACAAAATCTGACTGTTACTGAGATTTATAGCCAGTAACAATTTTGTGTATAACCTAGGGAGCCACTCTGTTTGAATTTCATAGGCCCCTGTACATTGTGACATGAATTTTTCTGTCCCGTTCAATATTTTGATGGGACTGCATGGGTGCCCTCTAGTGGTTAACTTGCCAACCAAACAGCTAATTTGTTGTTTGAAGCTGCATGCAGATTTCTGCTGTCAGTGTCTCAGTGTAAATCCAGTGTAACTGTTGACTTGAATAGAATTACTCTGGATTTTCCCTGGTGTAACTAAGAATGAGATCTGGTCCTCAAGTACTCACCTATTCCCAACTTTTCTATTGCTGTATATCTCACACGGTCCTTTATATTGCAGAAACAGTTTTTGAAAGTCACACATCAGTGGTAGTTTTTGTCAAATGGAGTTTATTTCTGTTTTGAAAAGTCCTTTCAGACTCATAATGTAGTTAAACTAATGGAGGAAACAATTGTCCTCTCATCAATGTCTGTAGCCAGTGATCTCAGGAGTAATGCTGACAAGTGACACTAACCATTCACTTGATCTTGCATGTATCAAAGAGCCCCCTGGTGTCACTATCAAGGTACATATAGCTCACCTCACCATCATATGGAAAAACAAATAGTCTCGCAGCACCTTAAAGACTAACAAAACATGTATCATGAGCTTTGGTGTATCATGAGCTTTGGTGGGCACAACCCACTTCTTCAGATGATGAGTGCCATATGGAACAGAGGTGGGACTGGTTTTCCTCTTTTCCATTCTAAACTGTTGTTTTCTATTATACTATGTGTCTAGGGAGCTAAAGACAGGCAGAACATGTTGTTAGGCCACATATAACACATAAATCATGCATGGGACAACTCTAGCTTTTCTTCCTCCTTTTTTTCTCTCAGTTATAAGCGTTTGATTTCTGAGAGCTGTGGATTTTGAGCATCCAAATGAGTTGTGCTCTACCAGCCTTCATCCCTCCTGCTTTGTTTTGCTGCAGATGTCATATCCACTATCTGCATGTTTTTAACTTGCTGCTGGCATTTCTGGTTGCTTAATGGTAGACAATGATAACAAAAAGTAATTATCTCTATTAAGAAGTGAGCAGAAGAGGTAAATGCACAAAGTTGAAACACTTCTTAAATATAAAAAAAAATGAGTGAAGGAGTTGCTCAGAAAATGCCCAGTTTAAAACCACCTTAGCAGTTGTGTTATTTTATGCCTGGTTGTATATTTTACCAAGGGACAATATAAACATGTGAGTAAAAACAGACAGTGGGACTTGCTTGCTGATCCAATAGGGAGACAGGTAGATTCCTCCCCACGGGCATATTTGGTTCTCTAGTAAAATGAAGCCCCAACCTCTCTCTTTATCTCTAAGTTTTTATACCTCATTCCTCATCATGGTATCTGAGCACCTGCTCTTACAGATGGGAGTATCTTACTGATCCAAAGAGGAGAACACAGGGTGGCTTAAAATGCATATAGTAATAGACTAGCATTAGGCCTTTTGACAATTTACATATTTAAAGCTAATGATTATGAATGACTCTTAAGCAGTTTTTGTATCCATTCTGTAGTTAGTTAGTTAGCTCTTCTGTCAGTAAGCAACAGGAAGGCAGGTATAGTGGGACTGATGTACTGATGGTGCAGATTCCCTGGGAACTTAGAGATTCCCTTGTGCAGATGATTTTTAAATGACCATATTCAGCAAAGTTTTCTGCCATATCCCACTGAGTTAACCTGCTATCCAAGTATGCCGAGGAAGGAAGAGCAGTGAGAAACTGATAAAAATAGCACTAAATCCCTGTCTTGATTCAATGACAAGAAAATAATAAAAAGATTATAGGTAATTTCTTTTTATGAATTATAGAGAAGGGCTTAGATTCAGCAGTGACACAGAAGAGTCTGGACAGATTGCTCAGCTGCCTTTTCCAATAATGTTACTATCATTCAAAGGGAAACAAATGACCTCCAGGATAAACTCTGAGAACAGCAGAGCATGGTTGTGAAGTTGTACATGGGGGGAGTCTCCTAAATACCCAAACTGCTTCTATTCTGTGAAAGAAGTCTGGGTCATTTTGAATGTGAACAGGAACAAATTTACTTGTAATGTCTGTTTAAAGAGAAGAGAATATGATAGATTTCAGACTTTGCTTTATTGCTGTCATATAATTTGCTTTCTAACTATACTCAATGGGGAGAACACACCGAATCTGTAGCGCAAGGAGCTGAAAGCTTTGTCACACATTCTGCTTTGAGGATTTTTCTGTATGTTACAAAACTGTATTTCTATTATTTTCCCCATGCTATAATTGGCTTCTTCAAGGGAGAGAAAAAAAATACTCCAACTCCTCAAGATGGAAGTGTACAATAAACATATCTCAGGTTTGGACTAGGTTCATGACTGACCTTCTGTTTATCACAATAACATTCCAAACTGCTCCTGTGCTAAACAACCTATAAAGGAATGACATTCCTGTAACATTTATCCTGCTTGGAAATTGCCTGAATGGTGCCCTTGTTGAAGCACAATCCAAAGTTCATTGAAAGATTTTCCTATCTACTCATCATACTTCTTCTTGGTGAGTTCCTGAGTCAGTTCTGATGATATCTGGCACATAATGTGGCCAAGGGAGAGCAAAGATGGAACATAAAGCATTTTCAATCTGGAGCCAGTGTGACAATGGGCATTATTATACTTCAGGGAATCCCAGCCTAAATATCTGCATGGGTTACAGGTACAATATGGTTAATTGCACTTATGTCCAGAAACAGGAAGGAAAAAAAGAGCAGTTAAGTCATGGTCAACTTTAGGTTTCTAAAGGCAGAACACAACTACATGGGTCTGTGTCCCCCAGTCAAAAGTCTGGAGTTAATTAATATATATACTATCTATCTATATCTCAAATCTGCAAGGAAGAAGCTACAATTTTTCAGCAGGTCTATTGCACAAGGGGGAGCAGCAAAGGATTATTGGCTGGAGGTTACTGAAACATTATAACAAAGTAAGAGATGGTTGGAGAAGTACAACCAAGGGCATGTCTAGACTACATCCCTCTTTCGAAAGAGGGATGTAAATTAGACAGATCGATATTGCAAATGAAGCTGGGATTTGAATTTCCTGCACTTCATTTGCATAATGGCAGTCGCACATTTCTTCAAAAAAGGGCTTTTTGAATGTGAAACTGCCGTCTAGACGTGGTTCTTTCAGAAAAAAAAAACCCTTTGTCGAAAGATTTCGTACTCCTGTACTCTTTCGACATAAGGATATAGTCTAGACATGCCCCAAGTGACCACAAAGCTCCAATTTCTTCACCAGTTTTTCCCAGCTCCCTTTTGCAATTAATTTCCCAACATTTACATACGTTAAATTATATACCAGATGCATTTTAATAATGTTCCAAAGGAGGGGCACCCAATTTCAATTAATTAGATTTTCCAATAAAACAGAGAGGCATATATTTACATAACAAAACCAGTCCAAATACAGGGTCATACGCAAACCTACCCAAAGCAATTAAGTGCAGAAAATGATGGTGCCTCAGTATGCAGGCTATGAAATACTGAAAGGTGATTCGAGGGCCAGGTCCACACTACGAGGAAAGGTCAGCTTAAGGTACCCAATTCCAGCTGTGTAAAAAATGTATCTGGAGTCGATGCCAAGCTTTGGTGACATTCTCACAGTGGGAGGTTGACGGGAGAAATGCGAGGAGGAGCGGGAATACCAGGGCCAGCACCAACAGGTGCCTCAGTGCTGGGTTTAGCAGGTCTTTACTAGACTGGGTAAATCAAACTGCAGAAGATTGACTGCTGCAGTACCCATCTTTAGGGAAGTGATGACTTGGCCTAACCTGGTGGTATGCTGGGGGGCAATCCCTGGGAGGAGAACAGAAGCCTGTGGGGGGAGAGGGAGTCCCTGGGGGCACAGAGGGGTCACGTGGGGAGAAGAGGGTGAAGGGACAGATATGCTGGGGGGCAATCCCTGGGAGGAGAACAGAAGCCTGTGGGGGGAGAGGGAGTCCCTGGGGGCACAGAGGGGTCACGTGGGGAGAAGAGGGTGAAGGGACA